TCTCACCTGTAGTGTCCAGTCTGCAGAGAGGCTTTTCCCGATTGCCTTCCTGCACACATTCTTCTCAGTAAAGTTCAGTGGGCCAGGCACAGTGCTAGACACCTATAATCCCAGCCATTCAGAAACTGAGATAGGAGGATCACAAATTTTATGTCAGCCTCAGCAATTTAGTAAGGCCCTAAGCAACTTAGCAATACCATCTCAAAAGGTCTGTAGATGTAGTTCAGTGGTAAAGTACCCAGTGCCAAAAAAAAACACCCACATAGCCCATAGGTTTTTATTCTGTGATCCACTCTTATAGGGGGACACTTTCTCTCTCTTAATTTTTAAATATTCATTTTTCAGTTTTAGGTGGATACAATTTTTTTATATATTTATTTTTTAGTTGTAGTTGGACACTATATTTATTTACTTTTATGTGGTGCTGAGGATCGAACCCAGGGCCCCGCACTTGCTAGGCAGAGTGCTCCACCACTGAGCCACAACCGCAGCCCAATACAATATCTTCATTTTATTTTTATGTGGTGCTGAGAATCAGACCCAGTGCCTCTCACATGCTAGGCAAGCACTCTACCATTTGAGCCACAAGCCCAGCCCCAACACTTTTATTATATATATTTCCTTTCTTCCCCTGTGGAATGTAAGTAAAGATCTTGTTTGCCTTATTCACAGCTGTGACTCCTAGCACTTGCCCAGCACATAATGGGTACTTAATAAAACACATGAAAGAAGAATAGAGTGGAAATGGAAAGAAAGAAAACTCTTAGGAATCTTCTGTTTTAAAGTACTATACTGAGGCAGAAAGAACACAGGAATGAAAATAGAAAAGAATGAAGAGAAATTTTCATGGAAACAAACCATCACAACCTTTTCCTGGTGTCCTGGTTATGAAATGAATATGAGGTCTAGTGACCTCACATTTTAAAACTTGACGCCTACCTTATTTCTCATCTTTTTTCCTTGTATTATTCATTCTTGTCTTTCCCAAAAGTTTTCAAACATCACACCAGTTCCCTTTCTTTGGTATTTTGTACTCAGGATCCCTAGTCTCTGTGCTTGATAGATTGAGTATAAGGGGTCATTCTCGGGAAACGGTTGTGTTTATGCTGTCTTTCGGTCACTAGCTGGCCCATTTTTAAGCATTCAGTAATGGATATGAAGAGGCCTCAACAGATATAATTTAAGTGACAAGTGCTGAAGAAAAAGCTGGGTAATGGGATAAAGAGTTGAGAGAGAAGGGGATGTTATACAAGGTGGGCAGTCATACTAAGCCAGCACCTGAATGAAGAAAGAGCAAGCCATGAGCTGTAATGCATCGGGGCCTTCTTTTCCAAGCTCTTGGTTCCTTGTCAATCAGGATGCCCCTCTGGTCCAAGGCTTTCTGTACTGTGGTGCATGTACTTGCAGGCACTAGCCACGTGTTGTCATTGTAGGTTTGACCATCTTATCACAGCTTTCCAGTAGATGGCAGTAAAGTTCATAAGACAGGGTGACATTTTCAACTTACACAAAGGTAGGAATTTCTAATTTGCTTTTAGGCTATTTATTGCCTTGTCCTTCTCTGGTACATCAAAGTCCTTTTCTCTCTGGGCCTCAGCATTATCTTCTAATTTTTTTTTCTCTTTCAAATATTCAGATTTACAGAAGAACTGCAAGCAGTGTATAAAAAGCCCCCATGTGACCTTGACTGGCGCTAACTCACCAGTTATTAACATTTGGCCACCTGTGCTTTTTTTTGCTCCCTTCTTCACTATAGTTCTGGTTTGTTTGTTTTGTTTTGTTTTTTTCTGGACCATTTTGGAGTTTTGCAAGCTTCCTGCTTCCTTACTCTGAATACCCTGGAGGGTATTTCCTTGAAACAAAAACTTTGGTTATTTGTTTTACATAATCATGGTACACTTAACCACATTTAGGAAATTTAGCATTGGTTCAGTGCTTTTCATTTACAAATTTTGTCCTTGTCCTACTGATACCTTCATAGCTATTTTGACTTCCTTTTCCAAGTCCAGTGTGGGATCATACTTGGCATTTACATATTGTTTTGTGTCTTTACTCTCCTTTAATCTGAAGGTTCTTCTTTCTCTTTCACAGCATTAATCCTTTTGTAGACTATAGGTCAGTTGTTTTGAGACTGTCTTGCTTGGTATTCTCTCTCTAGATTCAAGTTGTGTGTTTGGGGCAGAAATATCACAGAAGTACTGTTCTATCCTTCTCAGTGCATTGCATCCAGAGAAACACATGAAATCACTTTGTTCTACTACTGGTGGCCTTGAGCCTCTAAGAATTCCATGTTGAAACGCTCTTGTAGCAGGTGAACTCTGACCACTAGCAGATTCCCCCACTTGATATTTGCCCTCTTACTTGGCCAGTGTTCTGTTAGGCTTCCTCTGCAGTCTCAGTTCAGTCATATGAGCCGGAATTGTCTCCCAGATTTCAACCTGCTCTGCAGCACTACTACCTATGATTCGACTTCCCATCAGTAATTATAATGCCCCTTTCCTCTCCTCATGAGTCACCTCCCCTGGTCAGAATCTCTGAACCAGTGCTCATTTATTCTATTCAATCAGCATCTTTGAATACACACACACACACACACACACACAATACCTTTATTTTATCTATTAAATATATGGTGCTGAAGATCAAACCCAGGCCCCTGCACATGCTAGGCGAGCGTTCTACCGCTGAGCCACAACCCCAGCCCCCCAATCAGCATCTTTTTAATAGTGTTCTTGATTTTGAGTTGTACTCATATTAAGTTTGGGCAAAATTAGGCTTGAGAGAAATGTTTTCAGAGAGTGTTGGAGCTGAACATGGGGAAGGAGTAGATCTCATTGGTCTCTCAGGTTCATTTGATCTCAAATCACAGTCTTTCATGCTAATTGTATTTGATTGCAGTTAAAGTTTAAGTGTTTACTGCATGTCAGTTACCGTGCAGAGCATTCTCCCTGCACTAACCTATCCTTGAAGCAACTCTAGGAAATAGATGTCATTTTATTTGTTTTACAATTGAGAATATGCAGGGGCTAGGGATGTGGCTCAAGCGGTATCGCGCTCGCCTGGCATGTGTGCGGCCGGGTTCAATCCTCAGCACCACATACCAACAAGGATGTTGTGTCTACCAAAAACTAAAAAATAAATAAATAAATATTAAAATTCTCTCTCTCAAAAAAAAAAGAGAGAATATGCAGTCTTAAACAGGTTTAAGTAATATGGTTGGAAATTACTAACACTGAAATTCTTGTCTATCTCCAAAAGTCTTGCTCTCTTTTTAAATGGAGTAGATGGGAGGAAAGTCACAGTAGGGCTACTACTTAATAGTCAGCCTTTTACAGAGCCTAGATTGGAAGTAGTTACCAGCCTGCCATCCAGTTTGAGGTGTTTTAAAGTACAAGAACTTAGATTCTTCCAGTTTTTACATTCCCAACCATAAGATCTGGTTGCCTGGGGTTGTCCAGGTTTATAGCTGTTTCCTCGACACGACAATTAAAAGTATCCCACTTGCTTTTAAAAGTTTTATGGTTTGGCCATGCACCTGTAGTCCCAACTGATTAGAAGGCTGAGACAGAGAGATTACTTGAGTCCAGGAATTCAGAGCCAACCTAAGCAACATAAGGAGGCCCTGTCTCTTAAAAAGTAAAAATTAAGAGCTGTGTGTGCAGTGGCACATGCCTATAATCCCAGCAGCTCAGGAGACTGAGGCAGGAGGATCACAAGTTCAAGGGCAGCATTAGCAACTTCTCAAGATGTGTCTGAAATAAAAAGGACAGGATGTAAATTCAATGGTAGAGCACCCCGGATTCAATCCCCAGTACCAAAAAAAAAAAAAAAAGTAAAATTAGGGCTAAGGGTGTAACTTGAGGCAAGATTGCTTGTCTCATGTGCTCAAGGCCCAGGGTTCAATCCCCAGCACCACAAAAGATGAAAAGATGGGGGGTAAATTATATATGTGTGTGTGTGTGTGTGTGTGTGTGTGTGTGTATTATATATATGTAGTAGTTTGAATAATTATATTGTCCCAAACTCATTGTCCTTCCTGAAACCTCTTCAGATTAACACAGACTTGTGTTTCATTGTAACACTAATTGAGATTGGTTTGTTTTTATCACCAACTTTTTTTTGCCCCTACCCTAATTATACATTTCTGGTTATCTTTGTAGTCGTTATCAGTTGGTTTTGACTAGAATTTGCCATGTTGTCCAGTCTGGCTTCAAATTCCTGGGCTCAGGTGATCACCTTTCCTCAGCTTCCATAGTGCTAGAACCACAGGCACCCACACCAACCTTGTTTGCTTCATTTAGTCAACAGTTACCAAGATTTTGCCAGCCTCACTCTGGTTTTTTGTTGTTGTTGTTGTTTTGTTTTTGGTGGTACTGGGCATCAAACCCAGGTCCTTGTGCATGCAGGGCAAGCACTCTGCCAACTGAGCTATATCCCCAGCCCTGGCATCCTTTTTATGGATGTGTGTATATATGTCAGTAAGTACCAAGGTTGAACTCAAGGATGCCTTACCATTGAGCAGCATCTCCACCCCTTTCTGTTTTTTATTTTGAGACAGGGACTTACTTAGTTGCCAAGGCTAGCCTTGAACTTGCAATCTTCCTGCCTCATCGTCCCAAGTCACTGGGATTACAGGTGTACATCACTGCCCAGTTCTGTCATCCTTTCTGCCAAAACATTTAAGGTCAATGAGACTTTACATTAGTGGACTTAAGCAGCTGAAATAAATTCTTTTAGGGGCTGGGGATGTGGCTCAAGCGGTAGCGCGCTCGCCTGGCATGTGTGCGGCCCAGGTTCCATCCTCAGCACCACATACAAACAAAGATGTGTGTTGGCCGAAAACTAAAAAATAAATATTAAAATTCTCTCTCAAAAAAAAAAATTAAAATAAATTCTTTTAAGTGTCAGATTCTCTATGCTAGTGGGACACCCCACAGGTGTGCAGAGCTCATCCAGAGCAGTTCCTGCTTCTGCAACTCACATTCCCTTTCTCTTGGCAGTGCACGATCTGATTTTCTGGCGAGATGTGAAGAAGACTGGGTTTGTCTTTGGCACCACACTGATCATGCTGCTGTCCCTGGCAGCCTTCAGTGTCATCAGTGTGGTTTCTTACCTCATCCTGGCCCTTCTCTCTGTCACCATCAGCTTCAGAGTCTACAAGTCTGTCATCCAAGCTGTACAGAAATCAGAAGAAGGCCATCCATTCAAGTGAGTTGAAGTGTCACACAATATTCCACATTTCAGTGGAGGGGTTTGCTGAGACTGGTCCAGTCTGAAAATTGGACCTAAATAAAAAGCAAGAAATATAGGGTTTCATGGAGCTGACTGGTGACATTATTCATCTCCTAGAGACTATGATTACCCTAAGAAGTGGCCCAAACTGTTTTTTTACACACTAAAGTCTTATGCTTTAAGATCAAAGAGGACTAAACCCTGAGCATGACAGCAAGCGCAGCACACCTAGAGCTGTGCTCATTCATGCGGTCGATCTTGCCTATGAGCCTCCCATATGACACAATATCTTTATTTTATTTATTTATTTTTATGTGGTGCTGAGGATCGAACCCAGTGCCTCACACATGCAAGGCAAGTGTTCTACCACTGAGCTACAACCCCAGCCCTCATGTGGATGAATCTTGAAATGGCTTTGAAATCTTAACTGGACCTGTGTTCTCGGTGGCATCCAGAACTGAATGTATTTAATCCTGGTTTTATTACTGACTTCCTCCTTATCTCTCATTTGGTTTTAATAATCCCAGAATCAAGTTGGTAGGTCATGCATTTCTAGGATCCAGTTTCTAGCTTTTCTGATTGTTCTGTCACTTTAACAGATCTTTTCTTCTTGAAATTCTTAACCCATAAAAACATAAACACTAGCAAAATATGACAGTTTTTTAAAAAGCCCTTTTCTCATAGAGGAAGAGGCCCTGCTGTGACCTCAGCACTGCAGCTGAACGCCTTCTGGCCACCATGCTGTGCATATACTTTCCTTCTGTAAAAGAAGAAATAACTTAAGTCAAGTGCCATTAAAATTTTCTTGCCAATTAATTTTAATAAATCAGCACAGAATGAATGTGTGAATAAATTTTACTGCTTTGCAATATGCTCTGATATCTTAAGGGAGTATTGTTCTTTTCTGCATGACACTTGTAGATATAAAAAATATATATGTTTTATGGGCTGAGGTTGTGGCTCAGCAATAGAGCACTCGCCTAGCATGTGCAAGGCCCTGGGTTCAATCCTCAGCACCGTATAAAAATAAATAAATAAAAATATTGTGTCTTAAAAAAATATTTAAAAAATGTTTCATGAAAATTTATTAATTACAATACCTAATTTTTAAAACTCTTACACATAATTGTAAGTATTTTCTTAATAAATAGAAGGGGAAAAGCCTATTACTCTTCTATTTTCCCCATGACTAGGGGCTCCTAAAGGTAGTAAAAGTGGCCTCACCTTTCCTGACATCCCAGCATGTAGCAGAATGTCTGGTATGCAAGACACATGCAGTCAGTGTTGAGGGAATGAACAGGTTATGAGCACATGGTTACATCTCAGTCCTGTAGTACCTGGGGACAGAACCCTGGTCTTTCTTCTAAAGTTTTCAGCTCTGTCAAATTTATTATTTTTTAAACAAATATTTTAAATGCCTTCTTCATCATTCTGAATGAAATTCATAGATAATGTGATCTAGCTTCAAATGTAGTTTCAAAACAGATCAATTATAAAAATGTGAAACATATTGGGGCTGAGGACGTGGCTCAAGCGGTAGCTCGCTCTCCTGGCATGCGTGCGGCCCGGGTTCGATCCTCAGCACCATATACAAACAAAGATGTTGTGTCCGCCAAATACTAAAATAAATATTAAAATTCTCTCGCTCTCTCCCTCTCTTTAAAAAAAAAAATGTGAAACATAGACATGTTACTTAATTATAAATGACTATCTGCCAATTTTTTTTTTTTTAACATTTATTTATTTTTTCTTAGTTCTCGGCGGACATAACATCTTCGTTTGTATGTGGTGCTGAGGATCGAACCCGGGCCGCACGCATGCCAGGCGAGCGCGCTACTGCTTGAGCCACATCCCCAGCCCCAAGGATTTTTTTTTTAATTGTAAACTTCTTATGGCATTCAATCCTCCCAATAATCTTGTGATTTTTTTTATTATTATTTTTAATATATATTTTTACTTGTTGATAGGCCTTTTATTTGTTTGTTTTTGGTACTGGGGATTGAACTCTAAGGCACTCAACCACTGAGCCACATCCCCAGCCCTATTTTGTATTTTATTTAGAGACAGGGTCTCACCAAGTTGCTTATTAGCCCCTTTCTTTTCCTGAGGCTGGCTTTGAACTCATGATCCTCCTGCCTCAGCTTCCTGAGCCGCTGGGATTATAGGCGTGCGCCACTGCACCTGCCTTATTCATTTATTTATATGCAGTGCTGAGAATTGAACCCAGTGTCTCCCACCTGTTAGGCAAGTGCTCTACCACTGAGCCATATGTTACGGCCATTTAATTATAAATGGGTTCACCTTTTTTTGAATATTCATTGAGGGAGTCAAATTTACATAGAACATAGGACAATTCTTCACTGTGTATGACTGCCCCATACTTTGCAGACATCTGGCATCTTTGTCTCTGCCCACTAAATGATGATATTGTTTTCACCCCATGATAGCAAAAAACATCCCAGAGATTTCTAAAATGCACCCTAGAGGCCACTTTAACCCTCAAGAACTGCTGTGCTGACAGAGAATGCTCTCTCTTATTTCAAACATGTGACCGTTGTTTCTTCCTCTGAAAGAGCCTACCTGGATGTGGACATTACACTGTCCTCAGAAGCTTTCCATAATTATATGAATGCTGCCATGGTGCATGTCAACAAGGCCCTAAAACTCATCATTCGTCTCTTTCTGGTAGAAGATCTGGTCGACTCCTTGAAGGTTAGTTGCTTCTGCAGTTTTTGATGGTGAAACTAAGAAAAATCAGGGTCTGGATTTTGATTCAGAGGGAAAATGGTGCATAGGGTTTTATCAGACAAAAACAAACATATGCTTAGCTCAGTCATCTTGTGAAAATGAAGGTAGTAGTCAGTAGAGAAAGCTGTCACCAAGGGCCAGGGAGATTAGTTCAGTGTCAAGAGCTCTTGTGCAGGGCCCTGGGTAAGTTATACATATATCATGAGCTGGGCATGGTGGCACACACCTGTAATCCCAGTGGCTCAGAAGGCTGAGGCAGGAGGATCAAGAGTTCAAGGCCAGCCTCAGCCACGTGGCAAGGCTTTAAGCATCTCTGTCTCAAAATAAAAAGGTGTGGGGGTGTGGTTCAATGGTAGAGCACCCCTGGGTTCAATCCCCACTACCAAAAAAAAAAGAAAAAAAATCATGAGAAGCTGTCACCTCCTATTAGAGAATGAACATCAGATTATCTGGTAATAAGCTGGTGTGGTGACACATGCCAGTAATCCCAGCAGTTTGGGAGGCTGAGGCAGGAAGATTGCCTCAGCAACAGGAATGCACTAAGCAATTCAGTGAGACCCTGTCTCTAAATAAAATACAAAATAAGGCTGGGGTGTGGCTCAGGAGTTGAGTGCCCTTATATTCAGTCTCTGGTACCCCCCAAAAAAAGAATATCTGATAATAGAATCAGCAGTGGTACAGTCTTTGGACCTAAGAGATCCACAGAATTCTGCACTTAAATGTATAATGCAAGTGAGGGAACCTTCATTTTGAAATCATGTGTCATAGGTCACTGTGTTTATACACACTTAGTTAGCTAGAGGTGATTGGTATCCGTTAAGATGAACTTTACTGGTTTTCTGCTTAACCCCTCTTACATTGGCTTTCACAGCTGGCTGTCTTCATGTGGCTGATGACCTATGTTGGTGCCGTTTTTAATGGAATCACCCTTCTGATTCTTGGTAAGGTGGCAAGGAAAATGTCCATGCTCCTTGAAGTGATTTGTGAGGATAAGTAAAGAGGATGTTCATCATGGCTCTACTTGTTCCATGTGGTCCCACCTCAGTAGCCAGAGACTATGAACTAGATACTGGAGGAACTTGTGATCACAGATTTGTTAAATGGTCCCATTTATGATATTTCAAAATAGCTGGAAGTAAAGGAGAGTTATCTAGATTTGGTTTGAAAATGGGGATCTTATTTATAATAAAGCCATTTTTTTTATTTGGAAATTGTTATCTGTAGGACAAAGAAAGCAACCTATATAAGTGTAAAAAACCACAAGCCTCTCTCATCTACTCTTTTTTTGTAATGGTTCTTAATTGGGAGCTCTGGCCAGGATCTGTCGTTTTGAGGAAAGTGTGTTACCCTATATTTCCTGAGGAAATGGATGCAGTTGCTTGTGTCTTGATACTTTGTGACTGTCTCATGCACACCTACACTTGCCCTGTCCTGTGATTCTGTCTTTCAGCGGAGCTGCTCGTCTTCAGCGTCCCAATTGTCTATGAGAAGTACAAGGTAGGCATTTATTCCAAATCAGTGTGCTGGTTGATAAATGACTGATTTTAGTTGATTTTAAAGTCAAATTTGGGTTCAAATTGGTCACGGTGTTTTCCTCCAGTGAGAGAAACTAGATGTCTAGAAGAGATGTGGGTGGGAAAGAGACTTACTTGTTACCCCTTGTGTAAACATTTCGAGGTTTTATTGCATAGATGCATTATCTCTTCAAAAAGTTGAAAAAATGCTTAATGAATAAAAACTGAATGTAAAAGGAAGCAGTTTCTTTTGTTTTATGGGGGGGTAAGCTGTAGGCTGTTCAGGGTGGTGCAAGCAGATGTTTACATAGTAGAATGCTCCAGTAAAGAAAGTACCAAGTAAAGCTTACCTTTGCAAAAGCTTTCACTTTCACACAGCTTGGCATAATTTGAAGTCTGAAACATTAATCTATGTGTTACTACAGCTGAGTCTTCTTTCTTTCCTTAAAGACCCAGATTGATCACTATGTTGGCATCGTCCGGGATCAAACCAAGTCAATTGTTGAAAAGTAAGTACATTTGGAAACACATTTCATCATGACATGTGTTTTTCCCCCTGGTTATTTTTAGTCCTTTGTCTAAAATGCCCATGTCAAAGATAGTCATTTTCGTCCTGGAAAAAGAAAAAACAAAAAAAACCTTTGTTTTGTTTATTGGGGGGGGGGGCAAGGTAGAACACTTGCCCTGGGTTCAAAATCTAGTACCACCAAGTTTAGGAGTGTTTTTTGTTTGTTTTTGTGGTACTGAAGATAGAACCCAAGGTCGCTCTGCCACTCAGCTACACCCCCAGCCCTTTTTTTTTTTTTTTAATTTTGAGACTGGGTCTTGCCAAGTTGTCCAGGCTGGCCTCGAATTTGCAAACCTCTTGCCTCTGCCTCCAAGTAGCTGGGGTTATAAGCATACATCATCATACCCAGCTAAGCTAACTGTTTTCTGTGATTACCAAATCTCTCTTTTCTTTTTTAAGTAATACCTAAATCAAGTAATAAAATATTGTAGTGCTGGGGATGGAACCTAGGACTCGCCTATATTAAGGAGCTGCTTTTTTATTTTCAGTTATTCATAACAAATATTATGAAACCAATGATTTGAAGTAAAAATGTTAACATTATTCCATACTTTCTTCAGTTTTTCTCTTTTTAACTTTTTATTGATATATCATGAATCATACACTATAAGTGAGATTCAATATGCCTCATTCATCCGTCCAAATAATTTGATCAGTCTCATTCCCCAGAGCCTTCCCTTCATCTCCCCTTCCCCCTTCCCTTCTTCAGGTGTTCTTTTAGAAAGAAGTACCACAGATTCCCTGTGTGCTACTTCCATACCCCAGATTTTAGTGCTTTCTCCAGGTTTTTCAAGAAAAAGCTGAGTAGGCTAGAGATGTATGTAGCTCAGTGATAGAGCACTTGCCTAGCATGAGTGAGTCCTAGGTTCCATCCCCAGCACTACAAAAAACTTAAGAAGAAACTGAGTATATCCAGTAGGTCTGGTTTGATGCCAGAATCTTTACCTGATTTTTTGATTTTTTTTTTTAAACTGGGAATTGAACCTAAGGGTACTTTGCCACTGAGCTACATCAGACAGACAGCACAAATATATATATATATATGGTGGCTATTTACCCTAGTTAATTTGTGAAAGGTGATTATAGCTAGGCTTTAAAGCTAACATCTTGAGTGCCAATATGAGCTTGAATTGGGTTGCCAGCTGTGTTTGTGGCATTTGTGGAGAGTAGCCTTGACATTACTGAGGGTTTTCTTTTTTCTTTGTGATACTGATGATAGAGCCCATTGGCACTTTACTACTGATACACCCTCAGCCCTTTTTATTTTTTACTTTGAGACAGTGTCTCCCTTAGTTGCCAAGACTGTCCCTGAGCATTATGGGATTATAGGCTTGCACCATTGCACCAGGTTTTCTGATTGAATAGCCCCTTTGCCAGAATAAAAGGCAGCTTCTGGTATCCTGTGAGGGGCTGGGAAATGTTGCCACATCCCATAGGCCTGAGATCCAGGATACTATGACCCATATCTGTTTTACATGTCTCCTTCACCCTGACTTCTAGGTCCTTTGTGGCACTGGTGGGTTCTGTACCTCACAGAGCCAGAGAAATGGGCCTTTTTTAAGTAATATCTTGTGAGTTTAAGTAATAGACTGCAAGTTTAGAACATAGTCATCAGGCATCTTGCCTGGGTCCCTCCATTCTTCTCTGGAACCCTCAGTGAAAGACTCAGATTCCTGGCAGAGAAAGAGGATCAGGCATGGCAGCAGGGGAAGAGGGATGATCTTTGTGGACCCCTCAGGCTCATCCCAGGCAGAGAACAGGACAGCTTGGAACCCCTGCCTCTCTTCACCATATCCCTGTGAAAATGGGAGAATGTTTCTAGGTTACTCTAGCAAGTCCAGGACTGTCTTCTACTATCACTGTAAAAATGTAAACCCAGACAAATGCTTATGTTTTTTTTTTCTTCTTCTTCTTCTCCCCCACCCCCCCACCCTGAACAGGATCCAAGCAAAACTCCCTGGAATCGCCAAAAAGAAGGCAGAATAAACACATGGAAACCAGAAATGCAACAGTTACTAAAACACCACTTAATAGTTATAATGATGTTACTTGTACCATGGAGGACATGCTCAGTGTCAGCTTGAGCCTGCATTCCAAGCTTATTTTTATTTTAATTTGGTATTTTCTCCCCTCCTTTCCCTTTACCCTCAGTATCAAGCACAAGAAACAGTGGACTGAACAAAAAGAACTGATATCTTAGAACCCAAAAGAATAAAGAAAAGAATAAAATTAATAGGATAAATTATACCTTAGTGGTGGTGGAGCTTTTTACCTGTAGCATGAAAAGGGGAAAGATTTAGAAAAAGAGAAAGTGAATGGTAGAAAAATTTCTTGGGTCCTTCTATTCAGTTTTCAAGGACTAGTTTTACACAACTCCCATTATAGTTTTGCCCTTATTTTTAAGTTAAGAAATAATGATTAACTTGTGAAGAAATGGTTTGGAGACAGGAGGGGGATGCCTTCCTTGGGTTATTTGCAGCCCACCAATCCCATCCTCCTGCCCCACACTGTGAGCAGCTACTCTTAATATTCCTCTTCTTGACTTAATGATATAACTTCCAGCTCTGAGTAACTTATAGGTAGTAGTGATAATTCCTGTCTCCAGAATGCCATCTGAGAAATAAGAGTAGAAACAGAAAAGGGTGGGAAAGGGTGTGGCAGGGGCACAGCAATGGCCACCTCCCTCTGCCACGCATCCACAGGGAAGGAAGGGCTCCACCAGCTGGGAGCATGGTGTCCATATCATCTCTTGGATGCCAGTTCTGGGAGTTAATTTGAGAACTCATTCCTGAATGTGCTTTCCCCTCTTTCCTGCCCACCCACCTCACCTCAAGTTTAATAAATATGGTTGTACTTTTATTATTATGAAATAAATGTCTGTACCTGCTGTACACTGCTGTACACTTGTTAGAGAAAAATACTCTGCATGTGGGCTCCCTAGTTATTGAGTTATTGTAATCCTGTCTCAGTCTGTGGAGGGGGAACAGTCTCAAAAGATGGAACTACCAGAAAAGAAAACGTTTTTCTTTATCTACCACCACCACCACCACCACCACTGCTTTCTCCTCACATGCTGTTGCTTTAATGTGTGCTCATCAGTTTAGTGTAAGGACCAAAGCCAAGCTGGCTTGAGGGGAGATCTTATGTGTCTGTGGCTAAGAGACTGCACGCCAGTGTGGGGACGTGCATTTTGTTGTTCATGTGGAGTCTATCTGCTTTGAGGGTGCTTTCTTTGATTTTCAGACACACAAAATGCTCAGCCCCTGTACCATGGCCCAGGATGCTCCTTTGGAGAGTGCTTTCTGTGGACTTTTAAGTTAAGATGACCAGACAGGGCCAGAGTGTATTGATGGGCTTTCTTCAGTTGGAGACAACAGAGCAGTGCACAGGCACAGCAGGTGGAGGGTGATTGGGAATCATTGATTCCTGTTTGAGACAAAGTTTCTTCCTCCCTTTTCCACATGGAGACTCAAGTCAGTGTGAAAGCAGTCATTAAGTTCCTTAAGCTTGTAGCTCCTACGTAGTCCTGCCCTTCCAAGAGGGAGCAAGCTGTAAGGGCTACAATATTTGTTGGTCCCAAAGTACTGCAGCTCTGCAGGAAGCACTGGGAGGATTTTTTTTTTTTAATTACTGGGGAATTTAGATGAGTAAAAAGGAACTCTCCCCATACTCCCTTTTCTTATTTTCTTGCCCCCTTTCTTTTTGAAATTTTTAACATTTTCTGTCATTAAGAATCTCCCTCTCCATCACCATTCCTTACCCTCCCAGGAAGTTGATGCACTGATGGACTTTCAGGCTTCCCCTCCAAAGGACCTCTTTCTGCACTGGAAGCCCCACACCAGGTTCTTTTCTTTTGTTGTTGCTGTGTTAATAATAATGGGAGAGATGTTTGTGCCACGCAGAATTTTTTTTTTTTTTTTAAGGAAAACATAGACAAAAAAGTACTAATGAAACTGTGTGCGTGTCTGTGCGTGCAACATAAAAATACAGTAGCACCCAAGGAGCTTGAATCTTGGTTCCTGTAAAACTGCAAATTGATGTGGTATTAATTTAAAAATAAAGAACACAATGACTGGTGGTGTTCTGCTAACTTTATTCTTTATACTTATAAACGGGGCTTCCTTCCACTTCCCCCCTCCTCACTCCACTTTGAGGGTTTTAAAAAACAATTTATATGAATTCCCCAAATTGCAGAATTTCCATAATGTAAAAAGCACAGTTGTGCATTTGGTTTCTGAGAAAATCAAACACCCTCTAAGAGGTGAGCTTAGGAGAAAGATGAGCTGGAGGTATGGCTTAGTGGTAGAGCACTTTTCTGGCATGCATGACGCCCTGGGTTCAATCACCCCAGCCACACTTTTAAAGAAAAAAAAAATGGATGCAAGGGGGCTGCTGGCCCAGAGGAACACACCAGACTGGAAGGGTTCCCCACTTGCAATGTGAAGCAGCCTATATGAACCACAGAAGGCCACACTAAGCACCAAAATCAAGAATCAGTCACCTCTTTGTAAAACAACTTGTTTCTCAAGTTGCTCTTCCCAAAACTAAGGCTGCTGTGACTCAAGCTGGATTTTAAAAATTTATTCAACATACCTCTTAAAAAACTTAGGCTGAAGTATTTCTTTTTAAATGACTGAAGCAAACAACTTCACAAATACGCATACAAATGTTCAAATAATGTCACTAAGTAACATGGTATATAAATATGTATTCAGAGTAACATTTACATATTGGCCATAATAGCAAGGATACCATTAACCAAAAAAAAAAAAAAAAATGAAATTGTTTATGTCAGAATCCCAAGGCAAGGAGGCACCCAAGCAATGAGGGCAACTCTGAGGCCATAGCTCCAGTCACAGTAGTAATCACTATAGCGGCACTTCCCAGATCACATCTGGGCCCCCAAAATTTATACCTCTAGCAAGGTCCTAAGATGATCTGGGGCCACACTTAAAAAGCCACTCAGTCACTTTTGTTCTAAGGCCTCTTCTGTAAAGGGGGAAACCAATACCTAACCCGTTTTCTGACTTGGCTTACCTGAGCATCAACAGTGAGCTCAGGTGATTATAACCAGCTGTCCTGATTTGCCTGTTTTTGAATGGCAGTGTGGAAAAAGTGATAGAATACTCCTTCTGGATTTGAAACCAACATGCATGAAGTAAAGAATGGCGATGCCCAGGCTGGTGCCACAGCTTATCTGTTCTCAAGATTTTAATACTGTCTCAAAAACCCTGGAGGGCCAAACTAGTGGAAATTCACTTTTCAGCCAACTGACAGCCCATCCCCAAATTCCAAAACAATGGAAGAACACAAAGCCAGAGCCTTGCCCTGCTGAGTAGACCTTTGGCCAGGGGTGAAGGGCCATCTTGTGTTCTGATCCCAAAGCTGCAAAGCAGCCTCTGCCTCCCAGCTGAGGCCTGCAGCAGCAGGAGCTGCCCCTCATTCCAAGAGCTTAGCATCCTCAAAGAAGTGCAGTTCTCTGCCAACCTCAGGAATCATAAGTGCACTGTGACAGCCTGCAGTGCCCCAAACATGCCACCCCCTTTGCAGGCATAATGGGTAAAGAATTCTAATAATTTACCAGAGATTGGGAGGCAGCGTGCTATGATGGAAAAAACACTGAATTGGGAGTTAGGATTTTTTTTTTCCTAGTTCTTGTCCTGTTTCTACCTTAGCTGTGTGAAAAGTTATTTCTGGTATTAAGAATTTTGCCTGCGTGAAGGGGGAGAGATGGTACTAAGTTATCTCCAGAGTCCCTTCCAACTCCAGCAAAACTGTATAAAATGCTATAAAATTCGTGATATAAAAACACAACTCCCAATTAGAAAGTCAAGGAACTTGGCCTGAGGCACTTGAACCTTGGGTTCTGGCCTGGGGCGGGTAAGGATTAAGAGCTTTCTCTGCCTTCTGCTTTCTCAAGACAGCCCGCCCTTGTCCCCCAGGGCCACACCCTTGCAGACCCCACCCACAAGCTCTACCCCTTGGCTTCCCCACCCTGACTTTAAGCCAGCGGGAGAGCGCCGTCCCTGCAGGGGCATCCCTTTGTGGAAAGCCAACGCTGGGGCAGGAGAAAGAGGCCGAGGCTACAGGAATATATGGGATATTTAGTCCTCCCATCCCCGCCGCTGTCCTAGCTCCTTCTTCCTTTAGGTCCTTCCCCCACTACCTCACAGCTTATCTCTGATACACACATAATAAATAAGACATTTGCACATTAGGGTGATTGGGTCAGCTCCGTCTCCGTCCCGCCCCCTTTCATATAAAAGCATTAAATACAGTTCCAAAATAAAATACAAAGAGCAAAAAGGGGCCTGATCTCAGGGCCACCGGTTCTCCACGGGAGAATGAGTCTACACATCCCTCTCTCGGACCTGCCTGGGAGATCGCGGCCCCTTCCCCACCCACAGGGCCTGGCCCTGCCTCCGGAAGAGAGAGGCCGAGGCCCGGCCCCAGGCCCTGGGAGCGAAGAACGGGTAGCGAGTCCACTGAGGACAAAGGGAGGAGGCGGGAATATAGGCCAACTGCCGGGACCGCCAGTGCCCCGGGCTCGAATGGACCTGGCGCTAGACCAAAAAACGCCAGACTCAGTTTAGGGGTAAACGGAGGCCCTCAGGGCAGGAGAGGAGCAAAGGAAAAAAGTGCTAATCCCTTTACACGAAGCCAATAGGGCGGGAGGGAGTGGCAGAGGGCGGAGCCACCTGGGGCAGGGTCTCTC